CGCTGGCCCACTGGGTGATAAAAAGTTTGTGATCTGGCCCCACATTCAAAAAGGTTGGACACCCCTGCTCTATGCTGTACATGCGTTCCTGGAAAACAGTGCATAACTCAAATTCACATAAAAGGGAACCCACTTTACACTGTAACCAATGGGGATATGTTTCAAGACCTTGACTGTACTGACTCCCAGACCCATTTCTAACACTTTTACAAGACAATTTTGGTACTCACCGACAGCAGACAGTACACACAAGCACAAAGTACTATCATACAGGGAAGGCAACTACAGAAACACGCGTCGCAGATAGCGAGCAAAGAGCACAGATCCACACAGGAGACTATATTTTGGTGCTTGTCTCTCCCACAATGCACCGCACAAAGCAGCCGACTGCGGGTTTCCACCACACAGATTGCATTAGAGTAAAATTACCTCACATAAAACAAATTTTTGGTATAAAAAGGGTCATCGCATAGGAGCGAATTCACACATACAGAACCTGCATAAAGTGAGGGAAACCTGTATTAAAAATTTCCTAAAATTTCAATGGACTGCTTATCTTTTGGGCTCACTAACCCACTCTTCCCCCTACTCTACTCCCACTGTCCCAACAAACAATATTTTCTGAAACAGTACTACTACATAAACAAGTTAATCAGTCAACAAATAGATACCATGCTATGTGATATCCAGTGAGCTAATTCAACACTCTAATAGCAAATTAATTTAAATTTCACATTAATACGTGCAGTAAGGAGTATAAACAAACATATTTCAACCTGTGGATGATTCATAGAAATATCGTACAATTTTAACTGCAAACACATTAATTTGTTAACAGTTTTTTCTTGAGGAACAAAAAGAGAGGACTTGATGTAGCTAACAAACCGTTTCTGACAAAGTTCTCCTAGTTCTACCCCTGATGTAGGAACCTAAGGAAGGAAATATACTAGGATGCATTCCTTAGAAAAGGCAAGACAAGAGCACAAGTGTCTATTAGAAACTTCTTTGTGACCAGTATTTAAAAAAAGATTATATTAAAATATGTGATCAAAGCACTTTTTAAAGCCGAAGTGCTTGAAGTTTCTAGTTAACATGTATTACTTTTTCATTTTATTCTTGCAGGATCATCAAAATCTTTCAAAGAAAAACTGCAACATTTTTAGAGGAGCTGCTAATAGGTATCTAAATCATCCTAATTCAATTATGTTAGAAGTTTCTTTTTAAAATAATAGTACAAATTGAAACTGCTGATTTAAACATATCTTCCATGATAATGTGAATATCAAAAGTAATACATACTGAGATTTTTTTAATTTAAACTGAAGAGTAACAACTGACATTATCCACTAGTGATGTGATGACTACAGAACTGAGGAACTGTCACTGTGGGGCAGGCTGTAATTACTAGGTTTGTCTTTGCTTAGTGAGCTGCTGATGCTGTGCATTATGATTAAAAGGCCATAGGTCAAGTATGTAAATAGCACAAACATTAAAAACAAAATCAATCCAGAATGTTCTGCTATTTGTAATACATATGAAATAATGAGATTTTCTTCAAAATAAAATAAAATAAAATAAAATAACTCTTAAAACTTATTCTTTAGAGCCCATGCTATAACATTTTATTTTAAAGTAATTCCTTTATATAAGGGTAATTGGAGAGTTTAAGCACTCATTTGATGAATTCAGCCTTTTATTTCCAAACCCAGAAACAAAGATCTTTAAAAAGCACTCAACATGCTCATTTCAAATATATTGATGGAAAACTCAGAAGTAAACACAATCTTCCCTGAAGTTCTTTTATTCTACGGAGAAACAGAAATGTCCATGGTAAATAGACATTCTTCTCCCTTTGCAGTACTATAGAATACATTTTTACCAAAAACATAACTTTTAAAAATCTGTCATTAAATAGTTCTTCCATTTGTTACAAGTTAAATGGAGAAGATATTTGTTCTGCATTTTTTCCTTTCCAGCAGAAGTTTCACTTTCCCATTTCTTTTTGTTTCTTATTTTCTAAATTTAAACGTGGTACTCAATTTTTCTCCGCAAATGTAAACTCAAGATACCTGATCCAATCCTAGTTTAGATAAATAGATGGCACTTTTCTGACAAGTTTCATCAGCACAGGCAGGCAGCAGCAGCTCACTTTGCCCATCCCCATCTGCCAAAAAAAAGGAAAAGAAAAAAAAAAAAACACTTTATCAATTTACTGAGATTTCTGCAAAATATCAAATCTTCTGCACATACATAATACCACAAATAGTGATAAGTAAGTGAAAGTTACATGAGTTTGGATTAGATTTTGTTAATTCTTAACTTTGTCACCCTGTAACCCATTTGAGATTGTTGTTTCAATCTGCAAATGAGGTTTTATTTGCTGAAGTAATTACACATTGATCCAGTATACTGATAAGCTGAATCTCAATTTTGTGTGTAAAATAACACATTTAAACAGTATGAATGCTTAGTCACTTACAGAGACACCAGTTTTTCTTGTAGAAAAGGCAGTTCGCACAAGTCTATTTTGTATAGCTTGTATTTGTTTTGAAGACGCTTGTATTGTGAATGGCACAATGGATAGCACATTAGCGCGCACACACACACACATATACACTTATACACACTATATATACACATATTATACACACACACACACACACACAATCTAATGTCACAAGTAAAATAAAATTATAATACTCAAAAGTTACCTAATATTATAGATGGTCCCTCTATTTCAGGTGTGTGGCAGAAGACAATTTTGAGTTTATTCAGCTTTTACTATTCACTTTATTTTACTATTTTCACTATTCTTGCAAGAATATTATCTCCAACATTTTTAATTTGTAAATTCTGACACTTGAAAGAAGAAATATCTGTTTTATATGTTTAAATAAGGATTGCCTAATAATGTAACTGAGCTTGTAAATATGTATGCAGAACACCAAGCAGACATCTTGAAAATATATTATGAAGTCATTCTATGGATGCTTCATTAGGTCTGACAAGGTGGGCTGTAAAATCCTGCAGTACTGATATATAACCGACACCCAGGAAAAAGCCAAACTGCTTAATGGGTATTTTGTGTCATTTTTTCACCAGCCCCAAGGCACTACCCTGCTCAATACAGTATGGGATGGACAGGGTGAGGGAGAATTGTTACCCTACATCAGTGCAGACCACATGAAGGAGCACCTTGAGAAGCTGGACACCTTCAGGTCATCTGGCCTAGACGGTTTACACCAAAGGGTATTTAAGGAGCTGGCAGGCATCATAGCTCAGACACTGGCATGGATCTTCAGGAACTTGTGGCACTCAGGTGAAGTGCCTGAAGACTGGAAGAAGGCCAGTGTGGTGCCTATCTTCAAGAAAGGGAGGAAAGCAGATCCGCGGAACTACAGGCCTATCAGCCTGACCTCTATCGAGGTCGGACCCAACGTCTAATGATGTAGACACTGGTATCAGAAATGGACTAGCCAAGTTCGCCAATGACACCAAACTTTGGGGTAAAGCATCAACACCTGAGGATATGCTGGTGATCTAGGCCGACCTCAAAAGGCTCATAAAATGGGTGGATGAAAACCTGATAGTATTCAACACCAAAAAATGCAAGGTACTCCACCCTGGGAAAAAAAAAACCCGCAGCACGCTTATAGGCTTGGCAGTACTATGCTTGCTAGCACCACGGCCAAAAGGGACTTGGGGGTCACGATTGACCACGGGATGAATATGAGCCACCAATGTGATGTTGCAGCTGGTAAGGCAAGCAAAACTCTGGCGGTTGTCATCCTCCCACTGTACTAGGCCTTGGTGAAGCTGCAGGTGGAGTACTGCATCCAATTCTGGGCTCCACAATTTAAAAAGGATGTGGAGAGGCTTGAGAAAGTCCAGAGGAGAGCCACGCGCATGATCAGAGGGCAAGAAAACATGCCTTATGAGGAGAGCCTGAGAGCTGTGGGACTCTTCAGCCTGGAAAACTGCAGGCTCAGGGGGAACTGGTGGCTGCCTATAAGGAGGTGTACATCAGGATCTGGGGAAATGTCTGTTCACCAGACTGCCCCAAGAGACGACAAGGTCAAACGGTCACAAACTCCTCCAAGACTGTTTCAGGCTGGACATAAGAAAAAACTTCTTTCCTGTCTGAGCCCCAAGGGCTGGAATAGACTGCCTCCGGAGATGGTGCAAGCACCTATTCTGGACTCTTAGGAAACATTTGGATGATTATCTTGCTGGGATCCTTTGACCCTAGCTGACTTCCTGCCTGTGGGGCAGGGGGTTGGACTTGATGATCTTCCACGGTACCTTCCAGCCCTAATGTCTATGAAAACTATGAAATACAGCACCATGTTTAAAAGCACTGTATACTCCATGTAG